TTATTTTTTTTAGATGGAGTTTTGCTCTTGTTGCCCAGGCTGGAGGGCAGTGGCACGATCTCGGCTCACCATAACTTCTGCCTCCTGGGTTCAAGCAATTCTCCTGTCTCGGCCTCCCAAGAAGCTGGGATTACAGGCATGTGCCACCATGCCTGGCTACTTTTTTTTTTTGTATTTTTAGTAGAGACAGGATTTCACCATATTGGTCAGGCTGGTATCGAACTTCTGACCTCATGATCCACCTGCCTCGGCCTCCCAAATTGCTGGGATTATAGGCGTGAACCACGGCACCCGGCCGGTCCCAGGGTTTTAATTATTTCCTTTAACCCTCACAACAACCCTGTAAGTCAGGTACTGTTACTCCCATTATACAGACAAGGAAACCAGGAGGCTCTGGGAGGTTAAGCAACTTGCCCAAGGCCATTACCTGATATATACAGAGCTAAAATCACATCTGCTGAAGACTCCTTTTTAATGAGATCTTTTTGATTCTTCTATAGCTTCCATGAATGGTTATCAAATCTGCTTTGCAGCAAATATGGTTACAGCAAGATTCCAGTTTATTTCCAAGGTAACAAAATTGAATTTGATGTCTTAGGGAGACTGATTGGAACAAACGTATCAGAGAGAGAAGGAAGAATGGGCTAACAGAGGAGTTTGGGAGGCCCCAGGTGCTCTCTGAGCTTCTGGGCCATGCAAAGGGTGTTGTGTTTCAGGATACCACAGGGTTGGACCTGAAGCTGCCCTCCAACCCATGCCCCACACTGCAACCTGGGTGCTCCTTCCAAGATACACACTGGTCCATATCACTTCTTTGCTTGAAACCTTCAAAAGCCATTGTCCTCAGGATGAAGGCCAATTGGCCTACAAGGTTTATAAGCCCTTTCTGCCTGGCCCTGGATGATCTCTCCTGCTTCATTCAGTCATTCAACAAATATTTATTGGGTGCCTTTTCTATGCCAGGCAGAGCAGACAGGGCAGTGCCCAAAGGGACGAAAGTCTCCATCCTCATGAAGAGTACACATCCATTCCACTGAAAGGGAAGACAGAATCAACAAGGAACTGGAACGTAAGTACCTGTGAAGGTGGATTGTGTTAGGGAGAAAAAGAAAACACAAAGTAGGCTAAGGGAATAGCTGGCGATGGAAGTGGAGGCTGCAGTTTTAAGTAGGGAGTCAAGGAAGGTCCCATGAAAAAGCAATGACTGAGCAAAGCTCTGAAGATGGTGAGGGAGGATTCTAGGGCCTATCTGCATGAAGTGTTTACTTCATGATGGGAATAGCAGAGCAGAGGGCCACATGGACGCCAGCCCTTGAGCTCCCGGAGCAAGGCCTTTGCATATATCCTTCCCTCTCCCCTTTTTGACTCTTTTTCATCCTTAAGGTCTGGCTTCCCTGTGCCCATGACCTCCCAGAGCATGAGCACCTTCCACCATTGCCCACAATAATTGCTCAGGCTTGTGCAGCCATCTCTCCTCCCCCTCTAGACTGGAAGCCGTCTGAAGGCAGGAACCATGGCTGTTCCATTCCCATTGTCCCAGCAGTTTCTGACTCAGGGTCTGGAAATGAACACACACTTGATACATATTTGCTGAACAAAAGAGTAAGTAACAGGTTATGGCCCACTTCAGTGCAAAGTCAGGTGCTTGGGTAGTTTTTCATTTATCCATTAAACTGATATTTATCAAATGCCTACTATATGTCAGCACACATAAGAAAGATGATGCTTTTAGGTAGTGACTAGTCTGTGAAGACAATGCAATGGTGCTAGGAGGGAGGGCAATGAGAAGCGGGTGGCCACTTGCTTTGGGTGATCAGGGGAGGCCTCTCTGAGGAGGTGACATTTGAGCAGAGCCCTGGATGACAAGCTGGAGCCAGCCCTGGATGGATCTATCTTTAGCAATCAGGGTAGCTGATATCTCTGTGGTCTGATTATTTATTTATTTAATTATTATTATTATTATTTTCAGACAGATTCTTGCCTTGTCGCCAAGGCTGGAGTGCAGTGGTGGGATCTCAGCTCACTGTAACTTCTGCCTCCTGGGTTCAAGTGATTCTCCTGCCTCAGTCTCCTGAGTAGCTTGGGATTATAGGTGTGTGCCACCATGCCCGGCTAATTTTTGTATTTTTAGTAGAGATGGAGTTTTGCCATGTTGGCCAGGGTGGTCTTGAACTCCTGACCTCAGGTGATCCACCGACCTTGGCCTCTCAAAGTCCTGGGATTTATAGGCGTGAGCCACTGTGCCTGGCCTGTAGTCTGATTACTTAGAGGTAAGCAGGGGATCTTTGAAAAGGAAAGCGGAATTCCTGATAGGCCTGTCTGTCCTAGCCTTCTGGGCTCCATCCCTGGCCCTGTGAGGTACCCCTCTGTTTTCTGAGAGGTAGAGCAATCACAACCGACACGTGCAGCTCTTGGGTATGCTGAGAGCAAAGGCAAGAATAAATAGTGATCAGGAGTCAAGGTCTCTAAAGGTACAGGAGGAAGAAGAAAACACAAGGTTAAATGAAAGGGAAGGAAAGCGGCAGAACGGAAGAAAGCAGAGATGCCTGAAGGTTTTTGTTTCTTTTCTGTGAACACTTTGGTGGAGATGATTAAAAAACTAATGGAATGACCGGATGTGGTGGCTTATGCCTATAATCCCAGCACTCTGGGAGGCGGAGGTGGGTAGATCGCTTGAGGCCAGCAGTTTAAGACCAGCCTGGTCAACACAGCAAAACCCATTTCTACTAAAAATACAAAAATTAGCCAGGCATGGTGGTGCACACCTGTGGTCACAGCTACTTGGGAGTATGAGGTATGAGAATTGCTTGAACCTGGGAGGTGGAGGTTGCAGTAAGCCGAGATCTTGTCACTGTACTCCAGCCTGGGCACAGAGTGAGAGTGTCTTAAAAAAAAAAACAAACAAAAAAACCAAACAAACAAAAAAACAAAACAAAACAAACAAACAAACAAAAAACTGTTGGAATGGTGAAATGTTTAGCAGAAAAACAGAACCCATCCCTTCACCTATATTGTACTGTAAATACTTTAATATTTTTATGTTCTGCTAAAAACACCTGGAAGCCTTTCTCTTCAGTAAATGAGGCAATAAAGATTAACGAGTTAATTTGGTAAAGCTGATTTGAATTGCACAGAAGGCATTGCATAAGTACTTGGCATTTAAAAAGTTATCTGACATTTAAAAGGAGATGACTGTTAATGAATTCAAGAGCTAATCTTACACTCTGACAGAGTGAGCCATGGAAAATCCAGGATTATTATCTTGCTGTAAACACAATGTGATTCAGTTGAGCTATCAAAAAAAAAAAAAAAAAGCTGTCGGTTGTGTACAAATATCTAGACTCACACACATATATAATATAGCAAAACTTAAAGAGAACATCCATGAAAATTACAGACACATCTTACTATTTCCTTCCTTACTCTTGGATTATAATATCTGAGCCACAGATGATCCAAGGAGAAACCCTTCTTCCCAGTGATTTTTCCTCTTCCCTTCAGCTGGTGTATTTTAAAGGGTCACTACCCTTTAAAATGGGTTGGCTCTCCAAACAGACCTTGGAACATCTAACATTAAGAAGGAGACAAAATTCTAAACCCAAGTGGCTGCGTCTCCAGCCCTGGGTCCCACAGAGCCACCAGAGATAAGGATCTGTCCTGTGGGTGTCCCTCAGGCCGTCCTCATTACCTCTCCCACTTCTTTCTAATTGGGGTTCCCCATCTTTGTAGCTGCGGCTTAATGGCTCCAAGAAGAGCGATTGTCCCTCATTAAGGAGGCTGCAACACTCTCGCTGTCTAACTGCCTCCCACGCAGCTCACAACTTCATTCTGGCGGAGAGCAAGCTGCCAAGAGGCTCCGGGAACCTGTGGGCAAGCTGAGCTGGAGGAAGAAACAGAAGGGAGGAGGGCCTTTGTAACCAAGATCTGAAATGTGCTGGGGAACACACCCTGCCATTATCTTCATGCTTGAAGAGCGGGTGGGGGGACTGAAACCCTTAGGTGGTCTCTCAAGTGGCCACATCAAACCTCTGTGCACACAGGGCCTTTGTCCCCTCCTGTGAGTAAACACAAAGAAGAGTCAGTCCCTCCTCTGACCCCCGGGCTCCCCTTCTTGGCTAATAGTCTGACTCCTCTTGGTGGCTCTGAGTTCTGGGGGCACAGAGAGAGCTGAGAGATTTAGTTCCTGGGGGTAGGGGAGAAGGAGGCTGGGACCCTGAGCTTCCCTGTCCTCCCTCCCCCTGCTAGGGTAGGGGAACCAAATCCTGGAAAGGGCCCTTCTGCAGGAGCAAGGGAGCTGGCAACTTTCCTCGTGTTTGGCCTTCCGGCCCTGTTGTTCCTTGCCCACGGCAGCCTACGGACCTAAAAGCGGGCAGCGGGGATGGGGCCATTGGTGGGGCTGAGTGTGCCTGGGACTCCCTGGGCTCCCTGAGATGGGGCTGCCTAGAGAGGAGATCCCAGTGGGCCGGGCATTGTACACACTGTTAATCCCAGGCTGACTCGGAGGACACCCTCCGTGTGGCAAGGCCAACCTCCCCGGCTACCCCCAAGGTCCTCACTCTGAGGTTCTGTCTTTGTCTAGGTTTCCCTGGCTGGAAGGCAGGAGGCCTCCAGTGTGCAGGGGGTCAG